GGCGCGCCACACGCAAGGCACACGTGCGCACACACGCACACACGCGTGCGCCCCCACACGCACGGGCACCGGTGGTGCTGGGACACGCGGTCTGGAACCCCCATAAACAGCGTTAAGAATAGCCCGACACTAGGGGCGGCCCCGAACGTCCACCGCAGGGACACAGGCAGCCGTGCGTCTGTCGCCTTTTCGCACAGCTGTACAGCGGCGACGACACAGACACCACGCAAAACACGGGGAGGGAACCTTAACGCGGTCGGCAACGCAGAAGGCAGCAGGTGCTTTCGCTTAGGGGGTGGGGCTGTGCGGCGGGCGGGCGCGGAGGGTCCCCGAGTGTCCCCACCAAGCTCGGAGTGGGGGCGGGGCCTCGGGCCGGTTCCTGTTCGCGGACACGCGCTCTTCTGCGCGCATTCCCTGGTCTGCGTGTGTTTGGGAAACGGTGCGGGTGAGAAGTCACAGGTGGGAAGGCGCCTCCGGGGGGTGGGGAGCAGCGTGGGGGTGCAGGCCGCAGGCCGCAGTGGGGGTCCTCGGCCGGGCTGCCGCTGCCTTGCCATGGGGGCCACCTGCCGCTGGGACCTGCCTGCACGGCCCCTCCCCTGGCTCCTGCCAGGGGACCCAGGTCTCCTTCCTGCCCCTGAAGTGTACGTCGGGCTCAGGTGTTCATGGTGTGTGTGCTGTGTGCAGAGGCCGCTGCCGCCAGCGCTCGGCGTCACCTCTCCTCTCTGCCCCCCAGGGAGTGTGGGCCCAGTGCCCAGGGTCCAGGAAGGAGGCAGAACAAGCCGGCCCTGTTCCTCTGCCAGGGCAGGGCAGGGCTGGGCCAGCAGGCCGCTGGCAGGCCCCTCACCTGGACAGGAGCCTCCGGGCCTCCCTCAGCCCGAGGAGCTCTCTGGACATCCGGTGGGCGTGGCGGTGGGCCAGGCGCGGTCAGAGGGTGGGGGCTGCGAGCCGCACGGGGTCCCTGCCCTTCAGGGCCCGGCAGGGGCTTCTTCCGCAAAATAGGTTTATTTTTAGTTTTCTGCTTGTGTGGCATTTAGTGAAACATGCAGCACAGGCATGGGAAATGGGGGGTGGGGGTTAGGCCGCCCCCGACCGGCGCCCCACTGACAGATGCTTATCCTGGGTTTAGTCGCATCCTGACCCGCAGAGGCGGGGTCCCGCCAGCACGCTCTCCCCGGAAGCCGGGCCTGAGCCTGCGCGTCCGAGTACTAGCCGGCCATGAGCGCCCGCGGCCAGCCCTGCGGACCTGCCCAGCCCAGCGGGACCCTTGCAGAACCGTAAGGAGATCCCAGGAGCAGAAGGGGGCGGCCGTGCTGGTACGGACCCCCAGCCCTTCCCTGCGCGTCCCCAGCGTAGGCCTCGGAGTCAGTTCTGGCATTGTTCCCCCGTCCAACAGGAGCCACCCGTCCTGTGTCCACGCACCTGGTGCTGAGAATAAAGGGCT